CAAGAGAGAGTATTAGCCAGGATCAACAAGCACAATAATCAACAGGCACTCAGTCACAGCATTGAGGAAGGACTGAAGATACAGGCCATGAACAGGTAAATGGGAAAGAGAGCCTGACCTGATAGCCATTTTTCTGAATATTAAATATTGAATTTACTTTTTGAAAAGTGTAAATAAAAGATGGTAACAAATCGTAGTACTACATGAGTACCTTTTCATTATAATATATGCTTGTAGGCCTAATTAGGGTATTCCTTTTTCTTTCTTCCTTTTTTAATTAGACATTGATGGACCTTTATTTTATTCATTTATTTGTATGTGGTGCTAAGAATTGAACCCAGTGCTTCACACATGTTAGGCAAGTGCTCTACCACTGAGCCACAACCCCAGCCCAGGGTATTCCTTTTAAAACACTGGAATCTAGCTTGGAGCAGTGGTACATGCCTATAATCCCAGATGCTGGGGAAACAGGGGCAGGAGAGGATCACAAATTCAAGGCCTGGGCAGTTTAGCAAAAAGCTGTTTCAGAATAAAAAATTAAAAGGGGTTGTTTATGTGTCTTGGTGGTAGAGCACTCCTGGGCCCTCAGCACCACACACACCAAAAACCTCCCAAAACCATGAAACAAATTTTACTGTCTAGGGGCTATGGTTGTAGCTCAGTGTAGAGTGCTGGCCTAGTATATGTGAGGTTCTATCCTCAGCACCACAAATAAAGAAAAAAAGAAAGTATTGTGCTCATTTACAGCTAAAAAATAAATAAAATTTAAAAGTGTTTAAAAATTTTTTTACTGTCTCTTAGCCATTTTTGAGTGTGGAGTTCAGTTGTGTTAAGTACATTTAYACTGTTTTGCAACCAATCTCCAGAATCCTTTTTATCTTTTAAAACTCCAGCTGTACCAATTAAGCAGTAACTCCCCATTTCCCTTCCTAGCCCTTGCACATGGTAGCTACCATTTTATTTTGTTTATATAAATTGATAACCTCATATAAGAGGATTCAGTATTTGTCTTTTTGTGACTGGTTTATTTCACTTTAGCACAGTATTTTCAACATGTTTCTCCACATGGWAGTATGGGACCAGAGTTCATTCCTTTTTAAGACTGAATAATATCCCACTGTATATCTTTTTGAATCATAATTTTGTTTTAAAATTTGAATCATAATTTCTGTTTTAAAATTTTTGAGATGATCCATAGATTTTTATAAGTAGAATTTTACTTTTTAAAATTATTTTTTAAGTCARTAGGTTATCCTTGTTACTGGCAATATACATACTAATCTCAGAAGTACATGTCATTCTTTCCTATCTTTTTCATCATCCCTCTCATTGTGCATACAGGTAGAAACAGGCAATATTGTAGAAAGAATGTGGTCTGTTATCACATTCTAGCTTTCTTCCTGCCATTTATTTAACTTTGTAACTCAGTTTCTTTGGCTTTTCTTAACTACAAATTGATGGAAATGTATTGCCTTGCCAGGTTGTTTTGAAGAGTAAAGGAGATTGTGTACACAAAGTTCCTTGCCCAGTAATTGGCTTTAGAATTTGAGCTTGTTAGCTGAGCTGCATCTGTATCCATCCCATTTTCCTCATTTGCATTACATTAGGAGACTTGCAGACTTTGAGACAAGTCTCCCGGGAGCTAGTGCTAAATATCCATCCTCCTCTATATTATATTTGCTTAACAGTGTTCTAATTTACACCTGAAAGAGGCATAAATAACTTCCCTTAGAGATTTTACTTTTTCAAATTTGAATCATTCCTTTCTTTAGAATTATAGTCTTATAAAAATGATAAAATATAAACAAGACTTACCAGTATAAAAGTGAGTTGACAAATTGGCTTAAATCACTGAAGTGTGTGGTGAGATTTTCTAGACCGTTCAGGGACRTGTGGGAAGCAATGATATTATTCAACTAACCAAATTTACTTATCAAAATTTTTTAGAATTCTAAAGTTCAGTAGCAAACATGCTTCATATTTGATGGTTTAAAGGCCTAAATATAAATTTATGCATCCTTTATTTTCTTTTTCTCCCCCTTCTCCTTAACTAGATTACAGCGAGGCAAGAAACAGCAGATTGAAAATGGCAGTGGAGCAGAAGATAATGGTGACAGTTCACATTGTAGTAATGCATCCACACATAGCAATCAGGAAGCAGGCCCTAGTAACAAACGGACCAAAACATCTGATGATTCTGGGCTTGAACTTGATAATAACAATGCAACAGTGGCAATTGATCCAGTAATAGATGGTGCTAGTGAAATTGAATTAGTATTCAGGCCTCATCCCACACTTATGGAAAAAGATGACAGTGCACAGACAAGGTAAATGTATGGGCTAGTTTTAGCTATATGAGTTCAAAATGTTTAATTTGGAGTTAAAAGGTGACTGTGACTTTTTTATGGGGGACCATAGTGTTGGGTTTGATTCTTAACACTATGGTCCCCCATAAAAAAGGTAGGGAGCAATTTTGCATAAGAAATAGAAGCAGTATTTGTCATCTATTGTTAGGGTTCAGCTTGTTTATATAGGTCCTGCATGGCTTTCTTTTCCCATGTACCTCCCATCCAAAGTTGTACATATGAAAAGAAAGACCCTCCTAGGTAGAGGACAGGAAAGGACCATATCAGGTACCAAAAGGCTTTTAAAATTCAAGCTGCAAAGATGCATTTGCCTCTGTATTCCCAGCATCCTGCCTGTGTGATTGAGTGCAGATTAACAAAATAATAATTGAATGAATGAATGAATAGAATTACAATGTTTTAAAAAAATCCCTAGAACTTCTACGCTCAGTTTTTAAAAAAAGAAATTTTAAATCTTATAAAGAATTTGCTGATATTCTTACTATTCCTCTTGCGCCATAGGCAGTAGATCTTAATCATTGGGGTTGAAGGTCATATTGTACTTTCTGTAGTACTTTGTGTATATTTTTTTATTTTTGTCACTTTTTACAGGAGGTAAGGATGGTAGAGCTTTCATATTTGACAGTGAGCGTGTTGTACCTTTCAATTAGAAAGTTTTAGGTTATAGAGCAACAAATTTGTTACTTTGTCAATAATTGAAACATTAGCATTTTACTTTAGCTTCTCTAGAAATATAATACATAATTTACATTTTTCTCAGGGTATTCTACATATTTGATTTTTAATTCTTCCAGATATATAAAGACTTCAGGTAATGCCACTGTTGATCACTTATCCAAGTATCTGGCTGTGAGATTAGCTTTAGAAGAACTTCGAAGCAAGGGAGA